TGAACCATACCCACAATGCTGTATGCTGAACCATACCCACAATGCTGGCCCTCTTTTGAAAACCCTACAAACCTGTACTTGTCTTGCATGGAGAAACCCTTTATAATTCTACTGCAGCTGTATTTTTCAGGCCCTCCTCCTCTGTGATCTCTGCTCTGAGCAGCCTGACCGTTGCATCCTACCTGCTTTCCCTTTGCCGACCCCACATCCTGCTACTCAGTGTCACTAAGCTTGTTTTTACTTGGGCTTCACTGCTGTTCGATTTTATAGCATTCCTGAACATACCATTATAGGCACCGTAGTGAATGTACCGTGCAAAGATAATTATAATAGTCAAGATTCTTGGAGCCAACAGTTCTAATTTAATCTACACAACACTGAACGGATTATACAAACGACTACGTACTTAGGACTTCAACCCAACAGATAAGCACAAACTTATGCTTACAAAAAAAAAACCTTTGCCGATACCTTTATATCAAAATTAAGGCCTATTTTAATAAGAAGGCCTATTAACACTTAACTTTACATAGACAGACAAGAAAGAGTGGAAGATACAAGAGACGCTGGCAAGCATCAGTTACACATTCTAAAAGATGGAAGGAAATCATCAAGAGTCACTCAACTTTGAGAAGTAAAGTACTTTGAGAAGTTGAAACGTACATGCTTCGTTAGGAAGGCGTGAGGCTGTGACACGGCTCTTACGAACTGGATTTCTCCCAGGGACCACTGATACACTTTCATGTGTCATGGACAGCTGATCAGAAGTAGATAAGGGAGTTCCCCTGATACATCCTAGCAAAATGACTCCCCATGGAGGATGGGGTGGTGCCAACATCCACAGCAAGAGACTGTTTACTGGGGAGAAACTTGCTTGGCCTATTTAGTAATACTGGTCTAAGACCACACTTAAAATTATATACTTTAGTTTGAGTGTGTATAATACACGGATGCATATATACAAATATCCACATATGTACAACATATGTACATACATATGAAACATTTGAATATGAACATATTTTCAAATGATTTTTATAAACACTTAAGAAACAAAAAAATGCACCATTCTTTACATTTATACTGAATTGATACCTATGAATCTTATTAGGAGGTTAGGTTGAGGAAGTCGCAATAACTGTGAAATTCAAAATGTGGACTACACCAAATGTACTTCCTGAATTAACCCCCAGAAACCAAACAAGTCCCATCTGTCCCCAAGTCCCATCTGTCCCCTTTAGAAGCCTGCCTACTGTTTCTTCAGACCGCTCTCTCAGGAGTTCTAGGAAAGGTATGTCTACCATGGCCCCTTGCGACTGCTCAAAAACTTTTCGGAGATGTTGAGCTGTGTCTGTCACTTGGGCTGCTGGTGTTGCTGAAAATCTGCTGCATTCAAAGAATTAGCAGAACGGTGGAAGCACATTGGGCACCAATGTTCAGATTAAAACTGTCTAGCTTTGTGCCCTGGAAAAGGACCTCTCAAGGAACACATTGCTGCAGTTCCACACAGTGGTTCCTACACGTGTGTGGTCTATCACACATCTCAGAGGTCTCAATGTAATGGAAAGCAGAAATCTGAGCGTAGACAATTGGATTTGCGTGCTCCAGGTGATTTTACATACCAGATATAAGTGACTGAAAGCATGCAAAAATTATGGGTATCCAACAGGCCTCTACATCATGCCCTCCTTGCATGGCTACATCTAAATGGGAAATGGTTCCAACATGGCGCCGTCATGTGAGAACTGGCCACATGTGAGGACACACAACTAGATTTTTCCAGAGCAAGAGTCAATTCATTTTAAATAAGACAGTTAATGTGATACAGTGGACAGAGGTGTTTTCTGGACTCTTTTCTCTTGGAAAGTACATGCTGTGCCTGCTGCTCGCTCTGTGAGATGTGTGTTACAGAGTAATGCCAGCTACGCAAAGCTGGTGAGTGGCGGCAGCTCATGACCAGGACCAGTCATTATCGCCAGAAAGAGAAACTGTAATAAATGCTGAGAGTTTGGCAGTGGGAACTGGCAGACAGTCATGTTTCCATAGGCAGAATCTAC